GATGTCATGATAATGCAGGCCATCAGGGTCAAGAGAGGACATTCTCATTAGTGAAGCAGAGGTTCTATTGGGCTTCCATGGAACGTGATGTGAGAAATTATGTGAAGTGTTGTGCCCGGTGTGTGATGGGCAAAACTCCAGAGCCAGATGGCCGTGCACCATTACAGAGCATCAGAACCACAGCTCCTATGGAGTTAGTGTGCATTGATTTTTGGACAGCCGAAGACTCCAGCAACAGACCTGTTGATGTTTTGGTTGTGACGGACCACTTTACCAGGCTGGCTCATGCTTTTACGTGCCCTGATCAGACTGCCAAACAGGTGGCAAGAAAACTATGGGACAACTTTTTCTGTTATTACGGCTTCCCTGWGAGGATTCACTCTGACCAAGGTGCCAACTTCGAGAGTGAATTAATAGCTGCACTCCTTCAAATCTCTGGTATAAAGAAGTCCCATACCACAGCCTATCATCCAATGGGGAATGGATCGGCTGAACGATTCAACCGGACATTGGGAAATATGATCAGAACTTTGCCACCAAGAGCAAAACAGGCCTGGCCTCAAATGTTACACACCCTGACATTCATGTTTAACAGCACACCTCATGAGACCACTGGGTTTCCTCCTTTTTACCTTATGTTCGGACGGGTCCCTCGTCTACCTGTGGATGTTCTATTCAAATCTTCTTTGAGTGATGACAGTGAAATGTCTTTTCCGTTGTATGTTGAAGAGCTGAGAAAAGACCTTCAAGAAGCAATGGTGTTGGCAGAAGCACAGGCAAGTGTGGAACAGAGGCGACAAGCTGACTATTACAACCGAAGAGTAAAAGGAGTGGAGATCGAAGTTGGTGACCGAGTTCTCATAGCAAACAAAGGAGAACGAGGACGCAAAAAGCTGGCTGACCGTTGGGGGCAGGTGGTGTATTCTGTGGTCAAGACTAACCCCCAAACCCACACTTTTGAAGTGCGTGATCCCATTTCTGGTCTGTCAAAAGTTGTCCACCGCAACTTGCTGCTATGTGTGAACTTCCTACCAGTCCTGCCTAATTCTGATGACTGTGCCTCCCTGGTTTCTACTAGTGCTTCAACAACGCATGGGAGTGAGAAACTTTCCACTGAGACTTTTCCAGATCCTGATCTTTCTGTGRTTGCTACTGCTCGCACTCATCAGTGGATCTCTCAGATCCCTATGGAAGATGGAAATGGTTCTGCCAATGTTTCTGTAACACCTGTGGAATCCTGTGTGATTAATATAGACTGTGATGATGACTCAAACTTACCTGAAGTTGCTTTGTCCTATCCTTGTGTGGAAGCTGATGTGTCCAACCAAACGGAACCAGTAATATTTGGACCGGATGTCTGTGGAACCGCATCCTATTCAGGAGGTGCTGCACCTGTCGGAACT